CAATGACCAGGGTTCTGAATTCTCCAAGGCTTCACCCACCATGGGCACTAGGTCTCACGTTCACACGGCCCTCCTGCTGGCCGGGGGTGACGTCTCACTGCAGTTCTCACTGGTCCTTCTCCAAGGACCAAAGACGATGAGAATCCTTCCATGTGCTACATGATGCTCTCAGTTAGAAGATCCAAGGATCTGCGGTGGTTTAACTGAGTTCTTGCTGAAATCACATACCCAGGCTGTGCTCCTGTGTGCACAGCAGGAGATCTCGAATTCCTCAGAGACAATGGGTGGGCAGCAGGAGGCCTGTCATCTCCCCTGAGGACCAGGCGAGGGGAAGGTCTACGGGATCAGCCTAGATGGGCCCTGAAGCCTGAGGAATCACTGGAGCCCCCTGAGCGCTCCCCCTGCCTCACACTCGTCTTGTATTTATCACCCCCCACCCACTTCCTGTTGTTCTCGCCTGACGTCCAGGCAGAGACAGATGGACAGTCACACCCCCGGGACACGTGTGCATGAAGAAACAAGGCCTATGGGTGCCTTGGACACAGGATCACAGACACTCGGGAATGGGAGACTCGGTTCCAACAACGAGGCCTGAGCCCACAGAGCTCTGGGGCTTCCCCATGGGGACCCACATTCCTCTGCTCTTCCCCCTCCTCCCTCGCTGGACAAGCGGTTTCATTAGAGGGACAGGAAGGATGTCAGTTTGGGACACGTGCACTGCTCACCCCCCTTACATCCCAATCCCTTGCTCACCCTCCCATTCTTCCTGCCCCACAGCAGAAGGGAAAGGGAAAGGGGCCGTTACAATGTCCTATGTGATGGTCATGCCAACTTGTTCACACACAACGTTGTTCAAATTTCTGAAAAAGCTCCTATGTTGTTACATCAGATGTGCGTAGGTATCCCATAATTCCATGGAGACACTGTCACATTTTCTCCTGAAAACCCCATTTAATAGAAAACTACCCCATAGAACTGATGCCCTCTTAGAACAACAGAGAGGGGCCATCCCGCCTGGAGGTGCAACTGTCTATGTGAGCACCCCCAGCCCTGTCTCCAAACAGTGTTAGTGGGACAGGGTCCAGGACTGAGTCGGGGAGACCCCAGTCCCTTCACAGCCCAGACCTGAGATCTGTGACCTCCTCCTGGACTCACAATTGCAGGGAGTGTGACCGCTAAGATCCTCAAAGAAGACAAAAAGGGGTTTCACTGAGGAAGGATCAGTGTTCCCAGGGGTGGCGCTGGATTTGGGGTGAACTAGATTGCTGGGGACAGGGGAAGGCGGCCACTCCCACCTCATCTTTCAGCCTCACACCCTCCAGGGAAGGAAGTTAGGACTGAGGTCACCAGGACACCAGGGCACTGACTTGGTGACAGAGTCTACCCCCTCCCTCAGCGTCTCAGTCGCCATGCAGCCTGGACTGTGCAAGGTCCCGGCATCTATGTCTTTCGAGACTTTCCCCAGGGGACAGCAGGGTGACCCTGGGGCAGGACTAGAGGGGAAGCTGATTTGCATGAGGCACCTTCTCCCCCTAATGGGTCTGGGAGGAATGAAAAGGCCCAGGACTCCCCACTGCAGCCCAGGAGCCTGAGGAGCCACATCCTGTGAGTGTCCCCACCATGGTCTGGACGGTGCTTCTGCTCCAGCTCCTGGCGCACAGCTCAGGTCAGAGGAAGGGCCTCTGCATCCTTGGGGG